TGACGCTGTCTTTGGTGGGTATTTGAAGCGGCTCCAAGAGTGATCAGAAAGTTACTCCTTTGGCATCTGGTTCAATTTCACTTGAAATTAGGGTGTGTTGGGGGGCTGGGCTCTTTATTCAAGAAGGAGCCGGGTGGGGGAGGAAAGGCAGCAGCCAGGCGGGGGCTCTGCGGAATGACAATGAGGCCCTCCCGCGGGTCTCATCCAGGCAGACCTAACAAGATTAGATTTTCATAAATTGCAGACAGTGCCAGCTCCTGATTCTGCAGTGTGCGGTCAGGGCCAGACAGGGCCGCGTGCAGGGCTGCTTGTTAACCAGGAAGGACGCTGCGGCCTCCCCCAGGACAGACCCCCGGGCCGTGGCGGGTGTCGGGCTGGCTGGACTCGAGTGGATTCTGCCCTCCCCACAGCTGAGGAGATGCCCGGGAGCCACAGGGCCACAGTCACTCCAGGTATTTACGGAGATGGGGGCACATGTGCAGCAGGTGCGCGCTTCACACACACGGGCGACTTCCGCAGCCCTCCTGTGGGCACTGGGAAGCGGCCCTCAGGCTTTGAACTGAGGCTTCCCCTGCCAGCTTGGTGCCCAGGGCAGGCCCCACCCCGACAGCAAGAACATTGGCCAAACACTCGGGCAGGAGGGACGCACTTACCGTGGAGCCGACCCTTTGCTTAGTCACAGATCCAGGGCTGCACCTGTGATGCCACCAGAGGGGACCTCAGAGTTCATACCACACCACGGGGTCTCTTGTGGGCATCACAGGTTTGAATTACAGGGGTGTCAGATGAAGTTAGGCAAGGTGCTACACATCTGTAATCCCAGCACTGGGAGGCTGAGGCAGGACAGTCACAGCTTGAGCCTGGCCTCAGGTTCCTCCTCTGTAGGGGAAGTCATGTTAGTCTCCACTCCACAGACTGATGGTGGGAATCACCGAGATGATGGTGCAAGCATTCAGCCCCGTGCCTAGTGTTGAGGGAATCCTGGTGCACAGTACCTCTCCTCGTGTAAGCCCAGTGCGAAGGAGTAGAGAGGAGTGTAGGCCTCCCGGAGCAGCTGCTCGGAAACCAAAAGGGGACACTGGGCCACTCCAGTGAGGCACACGGACTGTTAATGTGAAATTATTCACGAGGAGAGAAGATGCTAAATTAAATGAGAGTGACCTTAGAGTGCACATGGAAGATGGGCTTGGTCACCCCAAGAGCCTGCCACATTCATCACCCTGCCCAAGGGAAAAATTAGGAAGAAAAATGGCAGGAGCCACTCCCAGCCTCCCCGAGAGGAGCACAGCAGGAACACCAGACACCACGGCGTTCTGCTTCCAGGACGCCTGCTCGAGGCCTGGGTCCACGGAGGCCATGCAGACTCGGCAAACCACAGGCCCCTGCAGGCAAGGGTGGTGGTCATCATGACAACGGTGGAGTGCAGTGCTCCGGTGCTCTCTGCTCTGAGCTCTGGTCCCCTTGATGTCAGGGGGCCCTTCAGCTCTGTCAGGAGACGGGGACCAAGCCCTGGCCAAGCAGCATCTCAGGCATCCGGGATGAGGACAGGAAACTAGCAATGCCCTGGGCGTGCTGGGAGAATCAGTAGGAGAATCAGAGGCCTTTTTGACTCTGAGCTGTCAGGGGGGCTCCGGACGTAGCCCTGCTCTTTCTGGTTGTGTGAACCAGCTCAGCTTCTCCCGAGCCTCAGTTTGCTCATCTTCAAAGTGGGAATGGTGACAATGCCTGTGTCAGAGGAGCTCAGAGTCCCCCGGTCTGTGTTGCAGCTTTGAGAATCATGACAGTTCCTACGGTGAGTCCTTACAGTGACCGTGGGCTGGGACCAGACCACTTGTGGCTCCTGGCCTGTCCCCCATGACTGGTGGCCAAGTCTCATCTCCACAGAGCTGAGAGGTGGGATCAGGAGGGAGTGTAGGACCACCTCTGTGTATACAGCTGGGGTGCAGGAGGTCAGATTAGGGCAGCCGACGCTGGCACAGGTGGCTGTACCATTGGCAGTGGAGTGACCTGGGGCCCATCTTGGCCAGAAGTGCCCCCAGCCACCCACCTACAAATACATTGGGTTCAGCTTCCAGCCTGAAAGGCCGGGCACCTCCCCGCCGGCGTCTGGCTTCTCGGGAGAGAACAGCAAGGTGGCCGCACATGGGCCGGGTCCCACATGGGCCGGATGGATCTTGTTTCCTCCGCCTGGGCCCACAAGGCATCTGAGTCTGAGAGAGACTTGGCTCCCCAGTGTCCCAGTGCCTCGCTGCCTGCTTCCCTGCCTTCGGGAATCACATAGGCACGGGGTGCAGAGCTGCGTGCCGCTGGGGTGAGGCACTGTGTCCCGTGTGCTGCCTCACTGTCACCCGTTTTCAGCTTGACTCCAGGCCTGTGAATGCAGTGAATGGGGGCAGATGCGCCCCCTTTTGTCCCTGCGAGTGTCCTCTGTGGTCTCTGAGTGGCACCTGTCTGGATGGGGCACGCACAGGAGGAAGGCGGAGGTCCCTCCCCAAGAACCATGCCTGCGGGGGTGCAGGGAGCAGAGCCGGGTTGCAGGGAGCAGAGCGGGGGTGCAGGGCCAGGCAGGGGGTGAGGTGTGGTGGGTGCCAGGCCCCATGGCAACGGGACCCCAGGCAACTGCCTTGCCAGGTGCAGCCCAGTGCTCGATCCATTTCCCTCCCTTAGGTGAGTTTCCGGGTCTGTGCTGTCACGGGGTTGGCGGCCCACAGGACAGGGGGCCACAGCTGTGCACTCTTTTCTGGGAGTGAGCCCCACTCCCGCAACACAGTGCTGGGCTGTCCACACCCCCTGGCCTGTAGGGGGGTCATGCACGCTGCTCCACTCTGGCCTGATGTCTCGCCACGTTCTCGCCGTGGCCGTCTGGGTCCTAGGCAGCCCCGGGAGGAGGACAGCCGGCCTGACCTGGGTCCTGCAGGATGCCAAGGCCTGGGACAGGACAAAGGCAGCCCCATCTCCCTCTCTCCGGGCTGGCCAGGCCAAGGCCCTTGAGACAGCGGGAGGCGGGGCGTCCCCAGCTGGGGTGAAGAGTGCAGGTCTGGGGAGGGAATCACAGGCTCTCCTGGGGAGGGGGGCGTGGGTGTTGCACAAAGCAGCCCTGTGTGTCCCCTGAATGCGAGGCTTTCTCCTGGGCCTCAGCAGACGGCCCTGCACCCTGCAGAATCGAGCCAGACTGCCCAGGCCCTGAACGGATGGAGAAGAGGAGGTGTGGCCACAGTGACCTGGTCCCATGCCTTGTCCTGTACCCAGCCCACCCTCTGCCCTGCTCTGCCCTCCCGGTGGGGGCCTGAGGATGTCCCCAGGCAGCTCGGGGAGCCCGAGACCCCACCGGGCGGGGCCCCGCCTTCTCAGGACCTGGGCACCTCTCTCCAAAGCCCTTGGCTCCTCCTTCGGCTGCCGGGTCCCTCGGGGGTGGGAGGGGTCAGGTCCAGGCCAGGAACTCAGGCCAGAGCCCCAGGCGGGTTGAATCCCCGAGGCAGCGGCAAAGTGGATGGCCACGTGGGAGGATCTACAGCTTTGGTCTCTGCCCTGCTTGTGACCGGCAGGGGACCTTTCTCCGAGGTGGTGACAGCCAGGGACAGCATAGGGCTCAGGAGGGCCTCTGTCCCTCACCAATTGCCAGCTGTGACTGCAGAAGTTCTCCACACAGTCACGTGTCCCCGCAGCAGCCGAGAAGGGCGAGAGGAGGGAGAGGAGGCGCCTGGAGGGGAGTGCGCAGTTCTCCATAGGAGTTCCACCGGCACTGGGTGAAGTGCCCACTGGGGGCGCTGTTCTCCTGTGCGAGGCCCTGGCCAGAAGTGGGCCTGGGGCTGGAAGTGGTCCCTGCCACCCCCTCCTTCCTGGGAGGAGAACTGTGGCCCCAGGAGTCCTGGGCCATGGCTTGTTAGGGGCGGCCATGGAAAGTCTGTCCTCCGGCAGGGGGCAGCGCATCCCTGTGGCCCAGGCAGGGCGGCTGCTGCCCCTCCTGGGGTTACCTCCAAGGTACTCGGTGTCGTGCTGGTTGGACCCACGGCCCCACCTGAGTCAGTAGAGCCATGGGGCTCAGGCAGGATGGGAATAACCTTCCTTCTCCAGTGCTTGAGGGTTTTTCTGCCTTCTAGGGAACCCCCCTACGAAAAAATACTTTCAAAAACCAGAATTGAAATGTCTGTAGCCATCTGGCCTCTACCAAGAGGGGTCCTCACCACCCTGCCCCGTGAGGGTGGGAGTACTTTTCTGATACGTGTGTACATGCTGCCCGTGTTTGTCATATGCGTTCTGTGTTTGCTGGGCATGTATAGGATTTGGGGTGTTGTTTTTTGGTGTGTATAAAAGTGTTGGGGTATTTTGGGGTGTGTAGGAGTGTTGGTACATGCAGGAGTTGGGGCATGCAGGAGCATTAGCAAGGGTCTCGGGGTGTGTAGGAGAGTCTGAGTGTTGGAGTTTCGTTGGGGTGTGTAGGAGCCTCGGCGTGTGCAGGTGTGTCGGAGTGTCGTTGGGGTGTGTAGGAGCCTCGGCGTGTGCAGGTGTGTCAGAGTGTCGTTGGGGTGCATAGGGCTGTTGGCATGTGGGCTGTGTGAGTGCACCAGGTTTGCTTGGTGTGCACAACCCCCGTGATCACTTGGTTTTGCTCCACACCCAGGTCCAGCACCCCTCCACACTTTGGTCACCCCTTCCTGCTGGGTGCTTCTCCCGGGGTCCCCCCCAGTCAGGCAGCACTGAGCATTAGGAATAGTGCCAGGGCTCTGGGAGCAAAGGCAGTGAGCCCTTCTGCGTGTCCCACGTTCCCCAGGGCTTAGGTCCCCATGTCCCGTGTTTCCCTGGGCTCAGGTCCGCGTGACCCATGTTCCCCAGGGCTCAGGTCCTGCCAAGGAAGACCCCAGCAGAGCAGCTCCCCAGAATGGCTGGGAAGCTGTCTGGAACCCATGGCCTGTCTCAGTCTGCTGGCGTCCTGGTCCGCAGGGGCTGTAACCCGGGGTGGGGGCCAAGCTGCAGTCTCATGCCTGCCCTTGCCTCCACAGCGGAGCTGGAGTTCGTGCAGATCATCGTCATCGTGGTGGTGATGATGGTCATGGTGGTGGTGATCACGTGCCTGCTGAGCCACTACAAGCTGTCGGCCCGCTCCTTCATCAGCCGGCACAGCCAGGGCCGGAGGAGGGACGACGGGCTCTCCTCTGTAAGTGCCTGCGTCCTGGGCCTCCCGTCCACTAGGGGTGCTTCCGGGCACCCTGATTTGGGGCAGGAATACGGGGGCTGAGAGCCCCGGTGTGGCTTCTCCCCATCGTGGAGTAACAGCACCTGGGTGACCTCCCTGGGACGCTGTGTGGGGCAAGCCGAGGGTCTGGGGCAGAGGGAGGGTTGGCGCCCCGGGCCTTGGCTCCTGGAGGGGGATGGCCAACCCACACAGGTCTTTCTGTCCCACAGCCGGCGGGAGGCGGGGCGGGATCCAGGAGCTCTGGGAGGCCGGGTGGGCCAGGACCGGGGCTGGCTGCTTCTGCCTTCACCTCCTGTTGGGCCCAGTGGGGATAGGAGGGGCGGGAGGCAGCTGCACTGTGGTGACCGGGTCTAGCGGTGCATGGTAGTCAGCCTGGGGGGACAGCCAGGAGGGACGGGAAGCTGGCATTTGACTCCCCAGAGGGACGCGGCAGAGGAAGTGTCCTGGCCTCGTGCCAGTGCCTCACCAGCATCGGCCCTGCGGTCACACTGCTGCCGGGGGTACTGGGTCTCTGCCCAGCTCCACCATCCCAGTTGTGTGCCCTCGACATGGTCCTGACTCCCAAGATGGGGTCTCAGGTCCCTCGAGTATGTCGGGGACTGGCAGTGGTGCCACCTCCCAGAGGACCTGGGGTGGGCGCAGGCTGGGGCAGGGTCCTTGCCCCTGGAAAGTCCTCTGCCCCCCGTTCCATGGTCCCTGTGTCAGGCACAGGCCAAGGGCCCGGCCTCTCTGCGGAGGGGGCTGTGGCTGACTGAGAGCCCAGGGCGAGCTGTTCTGAGGCCCAGCTCCTCAGTATAAAGTCAGGGTGCAGGGTTCAGAAGGGCGAGAGGGGCAAAGTACCCTCGGCCCTTCATAACCTGGGGTCCACACACTTGGTTTTCTGAAAGAAAGCTGGGCACAGTGGGTCACAGCCGTAATCCCAACACTGGGAGGCTGAGGCAGGAGGATTGCCATAAGTTCAAGGCCAGCCTGGGCTACATGGTGAGCTCAAGGCTGGCCTGAACTATATACTGGGCCCCTGTCTCAAACAAACAAAAACATAAGTATCTGAAAGGAAAATGTGAAAACCCTCAGAGGTTTCCCTAGTTATTATTCCCTAAAAGGAGCAGTGTATCAGCTATTTCCCAGCACTCACTCTGTATTGGGTAGAAGTAATCTAGAGGTTATGTAAAGGACAGAGCAGGATGTGGTGGGGCCCAATGAGCTCCTACACCATCACACATAAGGGGCCTGAGAGCCACAGTTTTGGTGTCTTGGGCCCTGGGGCGTGTCCCTGTGGAACCCATACCGCAGGAATCCTTGCTGTCTGCTCGTGCATTTTGGTGTCAGATCCGTGAGCACCCTCGTGCCCCCTGGAGACCCCAGTAGCATCCCCAAAACTGCACAAAGTCAATGCTCGGGGTGCCCCACAGGGTCCCCAGCTCCCTTTGGAGGGCTCTGTCCTGCTGTCTTCCTCTCCTCAACTCAGGAGCGCAGTCAGCCAGTGGCTCCCCTGCGCCTGCCCCGGACTGGCTGAGGAAGGAGGCCAGACGGTGGGAAGCAGCTGTCTTCGGACGGGCTGGGTGTGTCTGGAGGAGGCGGGTGGCCTGTGGGCAGCCAGGGGGGTGCTCGCCAGGTCCAGGGCAGGCAGCGCCAGGTAGGGCTCCCTGGCTCTGGGGGATGCCTGGGCTGGCTGCGGCACCCAGCACCTGTGGGCTGAGCCAAGCTGGCGCTGGCAGGTTCAAACATCTCTGCTCACATCAGGCCTGGCCTTGGTGTGTCACCCAGTCGTCAGGGCGGGCAACTCTCATGGGGACACCAGGGCCCTGAAGCCACCCGGCGTGCGTCCAGAGGGCAGACTGCATCTGCTGTGAAGGAATCTGCAGCCTCTGAAGCCCAGGGCTCCCCTGGCTGTCTGTTTGCTGTTGTTGTCACCCAGCAACGGGGCTGCCATCTGCTTGCAAGTGTTCTGCATGCAGCGCCTGCGTCGGCGGCTTCCAGGGCTCGCCCCGCTTTATAGAGCAGAAACGGGCTCAGAGGTGGGGCGCTTGTCCAGGCCGTGTTGCTCGCCAGGGCTGTGTGAAGAGCCTGTGGCTCATTTTAGGCAGGATAAAGATAGCTGAGGTTTTAGGGAACGCAGGCAGAGGCTGGGGCCTGGGGCGACGTCCTGCTCTCCAGGAGGGGCACAGCCCTTCCGGCAGCACCAGGCTGGGCTGCAGCACAGGCAGGACCCGCCCTGGCTTCCCGGACCCCTGGGAATAAGAGTGCCCCCACCCCCACTCTGCCACCTACCCAGCCACCCGCACAAACCCCAGGGACACCAGGCTGACTAAACACAGAGCCTGGTGGGGCCCAGCACAGACCGTGGCAGCGACCCCGGGGCCCAGCCAGACACTGTCTGAGGAGTCCTGGGCCCTGCAACTTCCCCGAGAGACTCACACAGCTGCTGTCGCCCCGGACTGGCCTTCGTCCTGCCCGCCTCTTCAAGGTGACCCCGGGAGTCCCCCCCACACCGTGTGTAGCCAGCAGCCCACCTCCCGCACCCTCAGGTCATCTCCATAACCCAGGACCTGGGGTGCGTGGGAGCCAGTGCTGAGGTCCAGTCCCAGCCTCCTCACTCCCCGAGACCCCAGCTACCCCCCGGCCAGAGGAAGGCTTGGATGCAGGCCAGCCCGGGGTTCAGGACCACAGTGACATCAGCCCCCTATTACCAGAGCTCCAGCCTGGAGGGCAAGTCCCAAGTGGGCAGGAGAGGGAGTGGGAGCCCAGAAGGCAGTCGCAGTGCCACCCAGCACCTGCTCAGGAAGCCCCTGCCCCTGCTTCTGAGCCCTCTGAGCTTTGCCCTCAGGTCCCAGGTTGGACGCAGGGTCACCCCCACCCCGAACACCCGCCTTTCCGCCTGCAGCCTCTGGTCATTCCCGCCGCAGTCAGCCACCTCCTCAGCCGCTCCTGCAAGGCCAGCTCAGCCCAGGCCTGCGATGGCAAGACCCTCATTCTTCTTTGTCCCCTTTGTCCCTGGTTCAGTTCTCAGCTCGGATCTCCTGCTCCCCACAGGAGCCCACCCTGCCAAGGGCCCTTTTCCCAGGGGCTGGGCAAAGAATGTGGGCAGTGTTCAGACAGGAGAGGGGCCCAGAGGCAGGCCAGGCCCTGTGGCTTTGGGGGCTGCTGGTTGTGACAGGCCACGTCCGGGCCAGAGGCATCTTGCCAGGTGTTCGGCCTGCACTGTGGTGGGTGGTGGCCCCCTCTCCGGAAGGGTAGGACTGTCACTGGGGAACTGAGGAAAGGAATTGAGCCTCACCTGGCCACGCCCCCAGGTGCTGGTTCCTGCAGTCTGGAGATGAAGGCAGGCAGGGGTCACCAGGAATCAGAAAGCCAAGGTCTGGCAGAAAGCCAGCAGACTGATTTTGTACATAGAATGTGGCTGGCTCATAGCCGTACGTACGTGCTCCTTCATAGGAGTCTGGCTGTAGCAGCAGAGTTGGCTGGGGCGACGGACCAGCCACCTTGACCCTCTGTGGAAACAGGTGACCCCTGGTCTAGATGGGAGCAGGGGTGGGGGAATCCGCCCTGGAGAAGCATTCACACAGCAGGGGCCAGAACGGAGCAGGTGTCAGGGAGAGGAGGGAGTGGGAGAGGACTGAGAAGGAGCAGCCCCCAGAGGCAGGGAGCAGCAGGGAGAAGGTGGTTTTAGGGGAAGGAGCAATGGCCGGGAGCCTGCCTGGCTGTGGGGCACAGGGGTGATCAGCTATGGGCCGAGAATGGCACCCTGCCCTCCTCCTCCTCCTCCCCGCTCCCCTCGCATCTGCCTGAAGCACCGGCCTAGGAGGGCTGGGGTGATTCTGAAGCTTGTGCCCCACCCCATAGGACACAGTTGTACCTAGTCCCACGCAGCTGCTTACACACTACGTACCATGCTGGGGGCTGGGCACGGGGGACCTGGTAGCCTCTGCCGTGACAGTCACAGCTCCCAAAGGCTGAATGAGTCACATGACCAGGCAGGGAAACCGGCCTGGGTGGACAGAGGGGCCTGGGGGTGCATTTAGGTGTTTATCTGCCCATGACACAGACAGGAAAGTGTTGAGGGGACACTGTTACAGGAGGCTGCGGGGTGTAAGATGTCTGGGTCAGAGCTGGGCTTTGTCCTGGAGCAGCGGGAGGTGGGAAGGGTTTAAGCGGCCGGGGCACCCAGAGCCCTCTCTGTCAACAGGCAAGCCGAATTGCCCCGGCAGCAGAGCCTCAGGTACATTTGGGTTTAATTGCAGTGTTGGCACTTTGCAATAAATAAGTGGATTTGGGGTTTCAGTCTCTAAAGGGTTCGCCATCACTGGTTTAAACCAAGGGGTAGTGGAGCTGGGGTAGAGGAATCCTCCAGCTTCTACTAGCAGCAAGGGCCCTGTGGGGAGGAGGGCAGGTGGGAGAGGAGCAGGAGCCCCTCTGGAAACCCCTGAGGGCCTGGAAGAGAGGCTACACAGCCTCCTGCAAAATCTGCATCTCACCATGTCTGCCACTGGCTTGTCCAGAGTCTGAGTCTGAGAGACCCGCTTTGGTCCGGGGTGGGTGGAATGAGGGTTGGGGAGAGAGTGAGCTATCAGGAATGACTCCGTGGGTCTGCTTGTGCAACTGAAAGCTCACCAGGGCATTCAGTAAATTAAGGAACAAGGTGAGGGAGAAAGACATAGTGATCTCTTACGCACCAGGGCCGTCCTGCTGGGACAGTCTGAGGACCACAGGGCCCCCTAGTGGCTGTCTAGGAAACAGCCCCTGGCACCCCCCTCCCATGCTGCAGGGGAGACATCACCTACATGGGAACCCTCTGGAAAATGTGTCCCCAAAGAAGCTTTTGGTCAGTGGCTGTGTTCATGATCTTGATTGTGTGGTGATGGCTACCTCATATATGCACGGGCCCAAGCGGAATAGAGTGTGTACTTTGAATATGTATGTTTATTGCATTTCATTTAGATCTCAGTGAAACCATAGACTTTAAGACACCCCTGCCTCAGCCGTGTGGGGGAACTCAGATGAACTGGCCCTAGCACAGGGTCCCACTGTCCTGGGAGGAGTTGCTGCCCTGCTGGAATCACAAAGCAGAACGCTGAGCTTCATGAGGTGGTGGCAGCTGTGTCGTTGGCACCTGGCCCATAGCTTGGCACAGAAGCGCACCCTGTCTACGTTTATGGTGGTGTTAGACGCCCTGGAACTGAAAGCCAAGAGGGGCCGGCCACAACAGGGCAGCAGTGCGAAGGGCCCACAGTTAGCGCCCAGCATGTTAGACACAACAGAGCCAGTCTCTGTGCCTCTGGGGGGGCACAGTGGCGCCATCCGACTCTCACACATTCCCTGAGGGTCTCAGGGGGCCCCGGGTGGTTTTTTAACTTGTTAAATTCTTCAGTAACTCCCACTTTCCTACAAGCCAGTTAAGGGTCTATTCTTAAGTCCATGGAAAGCCCTGGAGGGCTCAGTGGGGCCAGACCAGGTGTGTATACTGGAAAGCTTGAGGTGCCTGGACAGCAGTGGCAGCTGAGCAGGGGTTAGTGCGGCACTCATGTGGTCGTGAGCTCCAGGGTGGCCAGGAGGAAGGTCTCAGTGCTGAAGCTGGAGCATCCTTTGCTTTCCTCTCCGACCTGCCTGTCCCTCTTCACCCCTGCAGGAAGGATGCCTCTGGCCCTCAGAGAGCACGGTGTCAGGCGGCGGAATCCCCGAGGTGAGACCCAGCCCCCCCCCTGCACCCCCAGCCCAGCCCCCACAGACTGCAGGGAGTGTTGGCTTCCCAAGGCTTTCGGCAGCCGCCTCTTCTGCACCTGCTCTGCAGTCTGGGACCACGTGCCCCACCCTGAAGGAGCTCCCACTATCAGCACGTGGGCTCCCCTGTCCCAGGAGGGTGGGCATCTCCATGGCCAAGACCCCCACCCTGCCGGGTGTCTTCCCCACCTGCCCTGTGACGCAGCCGTCCCCTGGGGCATGGGCCGCTGGATCTCCTGTCTCTGCCCTGGGTCTGGGGCCACCCCCCTCACTTGGGTCTGCTCTTCCAGCCACAGGTCTACACGGCACCACGGCCCGCTGACCGCCTGGCTGTGCCTGCCTTCGCCCCCCGGGACCGCTTCCACCGCTTCCAGCCCACCTACCCCTACCTGCAGCACGAGATCGACCTGCCACCCACCATCTCACTGTCCGATGGAGAGGAGCCCCCACCCTACCAGGGCCCCTGCACCCTCCAGCTGCGGGACCCTGAGCAGCAGCTGGAGCTGAACCGAGAGTCAGTGCGCGCACCGCCCAACCGAACCATCTTCGACAGTGACCTGATGGACAGCGCCATGCTGGGTGGCCCCTGTCCCCCCAGCAGTAACTCCGGCATCAGTGCCACGTGCTACGGCAGCGGCGGGCGCATGGAGGGGCCACCCCCCACCTACAGCGAGGTCATCGGCCACTACCCCGGCTCCTCCTTTCAGCACCAGCAAAGCAGCGGGCCGCCCTCCCTGCTGGAGGGGACCCGGCTCCACCACTCCCACATGGCACCCCTGGAGAGCAAAGAGAAGGAGAAACAGAAAGGACACCCCCTCTAGGCTCCCAGGGCGGGCCAGGGCTGCGTGGGGCAGAAGGCAAACACTCCGCACTTCTAGAAGAGAAGAGAGAGGAGGGCAGGGCGACACACGGGAAGTGCAGCGTGTGACACCCCCACCTCTCTGTGTATAAATATTTACGTGTAATGTCTGGTCTGAATGCACAAGCTCAGAAAGCTTGCAAAAAACAAAACAACAAAAAAACCACGTTTCTTTGTTGAGCCGTGTCTTGAAGGCAAAAGAAAAAAAAAATTCTACAGTAGTCTTTTTTTTGTTCCAGTTGAGCTACGTGCGTGAATGCTTAATTTTCTTTTGTTTATGATGATTTCACTTAACTTTAAAGACATATTTGCACAAAACCTTTGTTTAAAGATCTGCAATATTATATATATAAATATATATAAAATGAGAGAAACTGTATGTGCGAGGGCAGGAGTATTTTTGTATTAGAAGAGGCTTATTAAAAAAAAGTTGTTTTCTGAACTAGAAGAGGAAAAAATGGCAATTTTTGAGTGCCAACTCAAAAAGTGTGTATTACCTTGTAAAGAAAAAAATTACAAAGCAGGGGTTTAGAGATATTTATATAAATGTTGAGATTTTGCACTATTTTTTAATATAACTATGTCAGTGCTTGTTTGATGGAAACTTCTGTCGTGTCTCTGGAGAGTCAAGGGAGAAAGGTCAGAGTTTGGGAGTCAGGTCAGGCAGCGGAGCCCCGCCCGCCTGTGCTCCGGGGCCCCCTTGAGGCCGCCTCTGCCCGGAGATAAGTGGGTGCCAAGCTAGACATTCTCTGCCGAAGGGGATTCGCGTTCTCCCTCTGGGCCGGAATAGCCTTTGGGATGCAGAGCAATCCAAAGTCACCCCAGAGGCACCTGGGTCCAGGTGGTGGTTTTTGCCTTTCCCAAAATGAAAAATAAACTGTTACTGAAGGAATCTTAGCTTTTCTTCCTCTTTTATAAGCTGCGAAGGTCCCCGGGGGAAGCTGCAGCCAAAACCTGTGATTGACGCCGGGGACAGGCCAGAGGGGCAGGTGGCCTGTTGGTGCTGAATGCCTCGGTGGCGATTCAGCAGGCTCCCCAGTGCAGCCGGGCTGGGGCAGTACCCTGGCGAATAGGAAAGGCCCAAAGTCTCAGCGGTGACCTCATCCTGGGGCCTTTTATGTCTCGATTTTCCAATAAACAGATGATCCGAGATGTCAAGGTGACAAGCCCAGGTTTCTCCCAGGACGTGTGAAAGTTAATTCAGAAAAGAAAAACGGAAACGGTCAAACCAGCATACACCTATGCTTCCAGCTTTCGCAAAATTTCCTACTTTCTCCTGCCCCGCATCCTCCCCATCCTTTGGACACAGTTGTCTGTGATGTGTTTGTCTGTTTCCATGAGCACCTCGTGTGCCGGGTTTCTGCTGAGTGGGTTTGGCATGACTGGCCCCCGTGGCGGTGGCCTGCAGGTGGCAAAGCAGAATGGGCACACACAAATAGAGGTGGCAGGGTCACTTGGGACAGGTAGGGACCATGGCTGCAGCTGAGGTCTTCCCTCCCCACGATGGACTGACAGCAGCCCATGGAGTGGCCCTCACTCCCCAGAAAGAGCAGGGCACATCCACCTCCTCCGCAGGGGGAGGAGCTCATTCTGGGCAGAATGCTATTACTTTAAGAATAGGACCTGAAAACAGTTCTGCAGTTCTGACAGCTGGACCTCTAGGTGTCCACTTGAAGAGCCCAGTGACCCAGGAACCTTTCCTATCTGTGACAGTAGCAGAACCGGCCTCTCCATGGGGTTTTCCCCTGAAGTCTGCCTCCCTCTTGAAGAGGATTCTTCCTTGAAGTCATTGCGGGAAGTCAGCATAGCTTGTCCCAAAGGTACAGGGACACAAAGATGTTCCCACGGTATTTTTCCTTTGTGTCCAGTGTCCCTGGTGTTGTGCTAAAGACACAGTCACTCTCGCCCTGCTCTCCCTGGGTCTGGCGTCCCTTCCCGTGGTCACAGAGGGTCACTACTTCCTTGAAAACAACTGTCTCCCTCTTGCCTCCCCACCAGGGAGGCGACCCCTCCTGTCCCCGCATCCTTTTTTGTCAAAGACTGCGTAACTGAGTTGAAAACCTAGAGAATGGACCTCATGGGTGTGTGTGGCATGAGCCACACGCTGGGCTGAAGTGTCCTGCTGTCCTCTAGCTGGACCATTGGATTCTTGCTGCTTTGTGACATGGTCCCCGTTTACTGTGGTGGGGTCTCCAGCACCCACCCCTCTGCTCCCCCAGGAAGGGAGTCCAGGGTGCCAGTTGCAGAGGTTTGAGGGGAAGGGCTTGTCACCTGCAGGGTACACCCCCGGAAATTGCTGGAGTGCTTACAGACCTGAAAGCTGCCGCTGGAACTCAGCTCTTCGCTTCTTCTCGGTACCCCACACCTCTAGATGCGGGCTGGGGTGTCGATATCTGTTGACGTATCCCTTAGGAGCCCAACCCCCTTTTCCAGCAGGAAGTCAGATGGGGCCCTGGGAAGCGGCTGGTTGGAGGGTTGCGGGGGGGGGGTCCATCGTGGGCTCAGAGAAGGGGCAGAACTTGGCCTGTACGCCCCTCCTTTGTGCCCTGCCTGTCAGCCCCGCCCCCTGCCCCACTTCCTACAGTGAATAGTGCTACTTCTGCAAAGCCCAGGCCTACATGGACAGACGTAGTAGATTGCACTGAGAGACACGCATCTTTTCAGAAGCCCAGAGTTTTGGCAAAAAGCTAAAAGTGACCCCTTGGACCACCTGGGGTAGGGCACGAACCAGATCCAGTCCCATGTCCTCGTATGGGTCCTGTCCCTGTGAACTGTATGTTTCAGATACTTTTTTTCCTATGTGCAACACAGCTCCCAGAACCATGAGCCCCCAGGGATGTGGAGAGAACATGCTTTGGGTTCTGTCGTGTTTCTGGACCCTGTGCTCAGAGGGCCGCTGTACCGTGGAGCTCCGAAGGCCGCTGCAGTTCTGCCTGACCCACGGCTGTCTGTCACGCTGACTGCACCGCTTGCGTGTTGCCTCTGGGGCGTTAGAACACTCTCCTGCAGCCCTGTACCCCAAGTTCCGTTCAAGCCAATCTTCTGTAAGCTCTCTGCGCTCCCGTGGCAGCATCAGGCTGCCGCTGTGGAGGCTGCCCGGATGCCCATCCTCAGGCCTGAAGAAATTGCTTGTTGTGTATCAGTAATCATTAGTGGCAATGATGACATTCTGAAAAGCTGCAATACTTATACAATAAATTTTACAATTCTTTGGAACAAGGCTTTTCCCCTTCTTTGGCTGTGCTGCGAGTTTCCCCTCCAGATTCCTGTTCCCTACCACCCTCTACAACCGCAGGATGCATTTAGCGGAAAGAGCCCTCGGAGCTGCCGTGTGGGTTCCATTTGTTCGACTTCTCTGCTTTAGTTCAGGCAGAATTTGGGGAGCCCGGGGGAAGTGGTTCCTCTGCAAATAGTTCCGGTAAAAGGAATTTGCAAAACACCACACAGATCTCTTCTCTCTTGAAATCTCCATTTGCCCCAGCGTAAGGAAAGTTCTGGAAAGGTCTGCAAGAAAGACACTGGCTTTTGGTAGACATGGTAAATGCAGGGCTGGATTGAGGATATGTCCCTCCCCAGGGAGGGAGGTAGCCATGGGAGGAAAGAGGCAGGGGAGGAGTTGAGCAAAGGAGGTTCTAGGCCAAGTCCCACCTCCGCCCAAGCCCCACGGGGGCCCAGCGGGGAGCTGTGGAGTAGCTGCCTGGGGAAGGTGGACACACGGGCCCTTCTGGCCCTTGGTGCACAGGAGTGGAGCGGGGATGAGGACCAGCAGCCCCAGCAAGCCCCTCCCCGATGTCACCCCTCTGCAGGGACACGTGGAAGTGAGGGGCAGTGCACAGACCCCCCAAAGATGCCTAAGGAACTTGAGTGGGGCCCATGGTGCCCACTACAAAACTGTCTAGTTCATTTCTCTAAATAGACCTGACTTTCACGTCTGACCAAAGCTTTAAAAACCCCAGCCAGGGCCAGGGATTTAGCTCAGTGGTTTTGCCGCCTGCTGCGCAAGCACAAGGACCCGAGTTCAATCCCTGGTACCAAAAAATAAAAAAATAAAAAAAATAAATAAATTAAAACCCCAGCCAGTGTAGGGAATGAAGCCCGAGGACAGCCGCTGTTTGGCCTCAGCCCTGGTGTTTCCTAAGCTGCTGAACCACAGAGCCAGCCCGAGAAGCATCGCAATGCTTTGCAAAACGCTGGCTGAAGTCAGCACCTCATTGAGTGAGGCCAGAACTGGGTTCCCATCTGCCTTTTCTGTTCCCTCTTCTGGCAGAAGCGAACCTCAGATTGTAGAGGACTAGGGAGAAACCCAAAGAGCTCCTCACTCTTTGGTGAGAGCCAGGACCACGCTGTGTTCCCTCTCGCTGGAGCCTGAGCTGCTCTCTGGGGCCATGCCCCTTGGTCACCTGTCTGGACTGGCTTGACCACAGTGCCTGGGAGATGCTTGCTGCTGGTGTCCATGGTGCCTCCCAGCCCCCCACACAGTGCCAGGCACACACAGACGCCAGCCACTCTCGCCAGCAACTCGGGATCCTGGGGGTTTCCATGCTGTACCAGACGCACCCCACCACCACCACCTTCTGGACCAGTTTGCAGGTCTTGAGCTGAGACAGGCAGGACAGCCTCCCCCAGGGATGGGGCAGAGCAGGGTGCCTTTCCCCACTGGAGAGGAGCCCCGGCTGCCACCACAAGGGGCCCCTGCCACTGGGTACAGCTCCAGCAGACAGCGGCCCAGCTCTGGACCGGTAACAATGTCAGAACAGCTGTTGCTCTCGGAGCACCTTCTAGGCTCTTCCCGAAGTTGGCAGCTCCTCATTGGGGAGGGCTCCTCTTTCACTTGGCCGGTTTTTTTGAGAACGGCCGGGTGCCAGGCACAGCTGGCTCTTGGGAGATGCCAGCACCCCGCCCACCCCTGACCTCGGAGCACTCCATGCTGGTTTTAGAGACAGACTCACTAACTGGTCCCTCTGCCCATACAGTGAGGGCAAGGAGGGCACGGCACAGGGGATGGATTTCAGCTGAGGGGCACAGACACTCCTTGACTTACATCACGATGCCGTGGGCTGAGAACCCACTTATACCCCAACCCACAGAACCTCCTAGTGGAGCCAGCCTGGCTTACTCGTTAGTCTGCAGCTGGGCAAAATCACCTAACACCAGGCCTGCTTTATAATGAAGTGCTGAACATCCGGTGCCAATTGCCTGAGCAGGTGGGTGGGGCTCAGTTTGGCTCCTGCACCATCCGGGCAGGGCGGTCCCCAGAGGGGAAGGGGAGCCCCTCACCCCCTGTGCATCAGCGGGGTGTGCAGGTGGGCTGGCTTACTGGGCTGGGAGAAGCCCCAGTGCTGTGATAAGCATTGTGTGCCTAGCGTAGGAGCAGCCATGTGGGAACCTAAAGCAAAGATCAGAGAACTTTTCTGCAGAGGGCCTGACAGTCGGATACTTCAGGCTTTCTGGGTTGCATGATGGTTGTCGCAACTACTCAGCTCTGCTGTTGTAACCCAAAGGCAGCCGTAGACAGTGTTAACTAAATGGACGCAGCTGTGTATCAAAAGAGCTCTTGGGGTTGGCTGGGTGTTTCCCAGGAGGGAGGCCCCAGAGGTAAGGCGCCCTCACTGTGCCGAGCCCAGGTGGTGAGCTGTTAGCATGACCGAAATGCTGAGGGGTCCAGTTTCCCCACCATGAAGTTGCTCTCCCCTCCTCTCCCCGCCCTGCACTCTCCAAAAGCAAGCAGAAGTCATACAGAGGGAGGACGGGGCTGGGCTCCACCTCCTTAGGGTTCACATCTGTACAAATCTGCATAAATTCTTGGAATCCTTCTGCATGAGAAATTTATTCATTCTTTTAATCAATCAATTATTTTACCAGAATGGACTTATGGATGTTTCTTTCGTACTT